AAAAATTTAATTATGGTACCGAACCGAACGGAACCGAACAGACTCGAACCGAACCCGAACGATTATATATTTATATTTGGACCCGACGGGTCCATTTATTAAATACTCAAAAGTTTTGGGTCGGTTCGGGTCTCTTCAAAACCGAACCGAACCGACCCACGGACAGCCCTAATTTTGTTACCTTCGTCTTAATCATCAATACCTTCGACACCAACTTCCTTGTAGTCTTTCTTAAGAACAGCAAGATCCTCACTGGATTCTGGGAACTTGCCATCCTCCATACCTTCACCAACATACCAATCTCGCTTAGCAAACATGAGATCAAATTTGTGATCAGTTCACAAGAACACCCCATTAGACAAACCTCAGTAAAAAAGTGCAATAAAAAAGCTGTTATTAATTGGTTCTATATAAATTATAAAATCTCACTGTACAACACAATATACATTCTCAAGACCTCATTACAAGTGAATCATCCATAATTTTGAACCGAGCAAGAAATGTTCTCTTTAGTTGGTCCAGGTCAATCAATTATTTCATCTTACATTATTACCTACCCACATGTTTGGAAAATAAAAAAATGGCAATCAAATGGATACTAAAGCAAAGAAAATTTTCCAAGTAACAAGCAAATGAGGAGTTGGATATCTTGCCTAGATCAGTTTGAAAGTTTTTTTTTAGCGTCATACTCTGATAGTCACTATACACAACGTTTACTGAGAATCCCTCGGAGTCACCCTCCTATCTTATCAGAAAATGAGCTTGCAAATTTCAAACAGGACAGTAACATGAAGTCTACCTATCAATCGTGGGTATTTTGTATTGTAAACAGGGAATATAAGCATTTTGATATTTTTTTTACACAAATATGATGCATGAGTGAATAAGTGGATCCATACTATAGGGAAGGAAAATCTTGTTCAAAAGCTACACCAATACATAGAGTAAAATAATATTTATTTAGCTGGATCAAAACTTTTAATATTACTTCAATGCTGTGTATTGTAGCAAGGGATAAATTGACACAACCAAGTACGGATGTAACAATATGTCCATCAATTCCGTCATTAGATCAAATTTCTTCTTTCTTCAAACCAAGTAGAATATTTAGCATTGAGGCAAGCCAAGTGAAAGTTAGAAACAACACAACAATTTCAAATTAAGCATGTATGCAATGCATTACATTTGGACATAAAACTCCATCTAAAAAAAAATCAACAAAAAGTTGAAATATCTCACTCATTTCTCCACCTTCTCTCTATCAGATATCTACATTTTTTCTTCTTGAATTTGTGGAATTTGATGAAAGCTTTTTTATTAATGATGATTGGATAACATGGACATTTTATAATTAGTTAACATTTTCCATCTTCCATTAAATTTAAAATTCAGTACCTAATTAAACTAGGAAAAATTGTTGTCGCGATTCCAAACCTTTTCGTTTTTTTGCATACTTTACCTCAACCTTCACTTTGTGCCACTATGCGTCCAAACCCTTGAGAAATTCGTAAATGCAATCCAAAATGACTGAAAACGTTAGTTCCATCATTAGTTGACTTCAAAAATGGAAAGAAGGCAAATTTTGACCAATTTAAATAGGGAGATTTTCGTCCAATCCTATTTCTCCATTTTCACTGTACTAATCAATATTCATTTCCCGCATTTTTCAGGTCTGATATAATTTTCTCTCTCTTCCATTTATTTTAGAAGTGAATATGGAGAGCAAAGTATGTAGATACAGTGACCTTGTGCAGGTGAAGACATCATGGACAAACTTGAACCCAAGAAGAAGATTTCTCACATGCCCACGACATCAGGATGTTGGTGAATGTAACTTTTTTGACTGGTACGACCCTCCAATGTGCCATAGGTTGAGGGAGATAATCCCTGAATTTCTACGTGTTAGAAGAGATATAGAAGCTAAATTAAA